CTGTAATGCAGATGTTCGTGGCTTCATACATGAGAAGACGCATCAGGGAAAGATGAAATCAAGACGATAAGCATCACTGACTCTTCTTCAGGAGCAGACACAGAAATAAATGCCGCTACTTGGGGCTTATTGGGACACGTCAGTCACTACAGTCTGGATGCCAGAGAGAACTCAAGACTGTCCCAGCTTCAGGAAAATGCTGGAAGGGTGGCTCCAATAGCTGGGACAGACTTACCTGCCAGAGGTTCTTTGGTGGACCCATTATGGCAGTTACAGACAGAAAGTGTTGCTATATTCTACAATGCTGAATTAGGTCAAAGATAGCGTCATCAATTATAGAAACAGATTGCTTATGAAATCTTAGAAAAAGTAGAGGTCTTGTCAGTATCTTGTCTGATGCTTCAATAGTATGGGTGACTGATTTCCTGCAGACTGATTGTCCTCAGTTTCAACAATGGAAGTAAAACCAGAAAGATTTTTATCTTGGTGTCAGAGAATGACCACAGTGAACAATACAGAACTGTTACATTTCCTAACTAGTGAACACTTCCATGCCACAGAAGCATCAGATAAAGTACATTCTGAACTTAGTTTGTCCAGAGGAAAGAATCCAAGTTCCACATCCTGAAAACACGGTAAATACAGTATTAAAGCTATTAAACTTTTTCAGCTTAACTAAGGTTCTCTTCAGCCATCATGAAAAATAATTATAAAAATTTCTTTAACCTTTTTGTTGTACTTAAAAAAAACACAGAAGAATTCTATAAAAATCAACATTTCCATTTAAAATATTAAAGGACAAATACAAATGAAGAATGATGGCTGGGGGCAGCTACAGCCTATTGTTAACCATGTAAGATTACTTCACTAAGCTGTCTGTCTTCATCTTGAATCTCAAGCTCCTCACCCTTTAGACATATGATAAGGAACATAGATTTACAGTGCAAGCAGAGGCTAACTCCACTGTTCCCAAATAAAGATTTCTTATGGGAACAAATACACATCTCAGACAAAACCATAAAAGATGCTGAAGCAAACCTGACTGGAACCAGCTCTTCCTCCATAGCTCTGGTCTCATTATATAAACATATTCCAGTCAAATCTTTACAAACCATGTCAACAAGTCATGATTTCCCCCTCTCTCCCCAGGAAAACTGTGCAAGGATAACTGTACACATGTCCAAGAAATAGAGGATGTCATTTTATTGGAGGTCCACAGGTAATTGTATCACATTAGGGAGTGGAAGAATCTCATGGTATGGCACAACACAATACCTCACTCTAAACACTTAAACAGAAGGTTAAATGATATGCAACATGATCAAATCAGTAATTCTCCATCTTCTAGGCACCACTGATTAAGTTAAAATAAACTTTAATAAATTGAAAAAATAATATAGTCCATTAATTTGTTTGTTGCACTGTCTTTAAATGAAACAGCACTTTGAAAGTCACAAATAAAAAAGCAGCACTTTCTCTTAATACCAACACCACTGTAACACATACTGTAGCGTGGCATGCAAATCCATATCTGCAGTCTTTTTTTTTTTTTTTGTATTAACAAATGGAATGGTAATTTTCTATCTCAAATATTAGTAGCATAACACGTAAGTGCAGATCATTCTGGCCACAAGTGTGGTAAGCCTTAACAAGTGTGTATTACAAGAGCATAGAACACAGAGCATGACACTTACATCCAAGAATCTCTCTGTTTTGTACTGTACATGGTGTTTGTTACAGGCTGACTTCCAACTTGCTGTACCCAGGCTTCGGGAAATAAGATTATTGACCATTTCTGGTTTTGTTTAAAAATAAAATGCAGTCACCATCAAAGCACAACCATTAACAACCTGGTCAAAAAATGCCATAGCTCCATTGAAAAAAAAAAAACCTTGTCTTTTTAGTAGACTCCATTATGCGATAAAGTTTCCATTATAGGCATGTTATGAAGTCTTACAGTGGTACTGCAGTGTCATTCCTGTTAAGTACAGATTTGTATAGACACCAAGAAATGGTGCAATGTTCAAAAAAGCTGTTCAAACTGAGCTAAGCTTCACAAGACCGCGTACTGAGTCTTCATGCAATGAATCCTGGCTGGCTAGACTCAGGACGTGCATTGTATGGCTGTGTGTAATAGGACTTCCACTTGGCAGCATCCCAGGGGGTGACGGAGCTTCTTCAGGGGTGAGAAACTGATGACCTTCGTGCTCCTCTTTTAATGGTATCATGTCTGTCAAACCTGTATCTGATGTGAGATTTGGCATAGAAGATGGTGGTGTTGGTTGCCCTAGAGTTAAAGTTGCACAAGGCCCACTGATAGTAGTCTTTCCTGGTAAAGGTAGCTCTTCACTAGTTATGCTTGGCTCACTCTGTAGTAGGGGGGTGGCAGCGGCCTGCAAAACGAATTTAGTGCTCTGAATGCACTGATCTTGATCACACTGTAAAATGGAAGGGTGTCAAAAATCATAGAAGGCAAACAAAACAGAGAAAAAAGAGAGAATATGGACAAAAAGGTATGGAAAAGAATGGGGTGTGAAGAGAAAAAAAGAAAGCCATTAGTATCATTCCATGGTTAGCCACCCAAAAATCCCATTGCATGCTGCCCAAGGAAAAAAAAGCATGCATAACTGAGCAAGTGCTTTGGATTACTATCAAAGTAAATTATGATAAACATTCACAGTGCTCATGTAAGGGTTTTGGTAACTTTTAATATAGTGTTTTGTGAGCACTGTAATTCAAATGCTTTGCTTATTCTTGTTCAAAGTCATTTGGAAAGCCTAGCTGCACAGTCTGTGTGTAACTAACTGCATCGGACACCTCCAAACCTCCCCGATTCCAGGTGAGGTGAATCACTTCCACACTACTCATTTTACCCTACAGTAGCTAGCAGTTCAGAGAGAGGCCCATAGACATAATCCAAGCATCTTTCCAAGTTCAAAAACACTAGGCAAGAGTCTTTTTATAACTGTCTTTCACATGTAGGAATTAAGGTGCTACAGAAGTTTTCCAGAGCAAGAATTCCTTTGATGCAGGTAGTTTTATAAAGATACAGCTGGCAATACAGCCTCTATGAGCAAAAATTCCACCCCCCATTTCAATAAATTATATATACACTTTAAGGAATATACTACAGTCTACTCAATACTCTAGAGGATGTGTAGAAATTAGGCAGCCCTGCAGATGCAATAACTTGACATGAATTTTCATTATTTTTAGGTTGTTTCTTGATTAAATTAATCTTGACAAGGTGAAGAATCAAGGTGCAAACTACAAGTTTTCTGGCAAGTCCTTTCACAATAACAAGCCAAATTCAGCATTATATAAATCCAATGAGTATTACCAGGAACATTTTTGGCTCTTTATCATTCCTAAGAACTGTTTATACAAAATTATCATTCATTCCTTGAGATGACAAGACAGGTAGATATTTAAATAATGTCCAATTAGCTAAGTGGGTAGTACACCTACTGCCAAACTAAGCTTCTTTAACACAAACTGGCATGATTTTTGAGAGCTTCGAAGAACAATACATATTTAATTCATAGCCTGATTAGTTATAACATCTGCAGATTTTCAAAATCCTGTTAGATTCATTTGCCATACTACAGTTCTGCTATGCAAGAGAAACACTACAGACAAATGAATACAACTATAAATCCAGTGCAGCAAAGAAAATTTGGAAGCAAACAAGCGGAATAAAAAAAACATATCCAGAGGTAAGATGTTCCTATTCACTGCTATTATTTCAAGGATTCTGTTAAAGCAATATGTTCTGCTTTATGACAGATTTCTTTTATCTGTATCAAGTTACTGAAAGATGTTACAAAATCCAATATCCTTGAAGATATTCCCGATCATAACTATTGCTACTAGTATTACAGCAATTTCCTAAAATGTCTATTCTAGTTTAATAAGACACTGTGATATACTCTATGCAAGACTTTTGCTTCCTTTACTGTATGATCTACTATGTGTGATTACTATGAATGCTTCCTCTGATATTTTCAGGTCCTCCAATTGCACCACTGAACGGCTTAATGATGGATGCACATGCATTACATTCAGAAAGTGTGCAAGCAGACTACTTGGTCACAGTAGACAGGTAGTATTTTAAACATGTCTAAGTGGTTTAAGACTCCCAAGACCAACTATTTTTTGTCAGGCAGATCCTTACTCAGTTACTCATTTTCCAATACACATGCTTTCAGAAAGATAAATGTACTCACTTCCTGTTACATAAATTGAGCTCATATAAGCTGCAAGCCATTTTTCCCCCTCACAAAATGATGAACAGTGCCAGCCAAACAACTGAAGTGGTCCCATATCATTTCAGAGGGATTACCCACAGGCTTAAAGCCAAAATCTTGCATAAGTACCTTACTAAGAAGAAAACCGTCATCATCTTTTAAAGTCAAGCTTTCAATTAGTAATTCAGTGTGAATAACTCATTCTTGATTACCATACTGTTATTCACGCCTGCTTACTTCAATTAAACTATAGCCCTTCAACCAACCTCAGTATGCAGACCTTAAAAATCTGTTAACTGAATTTTCAAACTTCAAAAAGACCAACAAAATCCATCTTCTCTGAAAAGCAGTAGCCAAACAGCATGTTAAATAACAAAGAAATACCTACAACCACTGGGGTACACTGAAAACAAATAATGGTAGCAGCTGACTTACTGCTTTAGTGAAGCTTCAGCACTGATCTTCAAAAGAAAATCATTAATGTGTTCCAGGCAATACAAGTACACAGTCTTAAATTAGCTGAAGGTAATTTACTTGAACTCATTGTATCATCTGAATTCATTTTCCTCTTGCCCAACTTTAGTGCATTTCAACTGAATCAATATCGAAAAGATAAGTAGCCTCATAAAGCTCCATTAAGCAGCTATAAAACTTTTTGAGGTGCTGTATATCTCTTCTTCATTTTCCATTCTAAAGCCTCTCCTCTTATTCACATACATTTCAGGCTTCTTTTTTTTTTTTTTTTTTTTCCCCCCTCTCTATTTAACCGTGACCAACATGAAATATTTTAGGAAAATACAGGCTGCAAACAGCTTTCAAAAGTGAACTAGAGTGGGGTTTGTATTAGGAAAGGTGGATGTGTTCAGTGAGGTTCTCAAAAACATCTTATAAAACCAACACATAATATAAAGATTCGGGTCTAAACAGCCAACACAAAACTAAACTAGGAACTCGGATTTCTTTACAGGGCTGGCATGGTGGTTTTTTTCTTGATTCTGTATTCTACTCGTAACTAAATAAAATTTAGGGCCAAAAGTCTTAACAGCTATTAATCACACGAATTACTCAATGCCAGAATTTCAAATGAAATAAAAAAGCCTGTGATTGTAACAAAAAAGCCAAGCACTGAAATCTAAATAGTTAAAAAAATCTACTGTAGAAATTATTCTACCAATACCTTCTTACTTCAGATCTACTGATTTTATTTTCCACTTAGAATTTCCACTGTTTCTGAGGAACAGCAGATTCTGAAGGTAAGACAAGTTTAATAAGTTCTACAAATACGTAAGTTCAATTATATATGTGCATAGAGATTTTTAGCCATCTCTGTATTTATTTTCACATCAAAAGGCACAAATTAAAGCAAATTAGACAAAGCCTAAAATTCTGTGTTTATTTCACAAATAATAAATACAAACAGCTAAGGAAACATTATTTTTCAATTTTCTTCCTGAGGAAAATCTGAATTTTTTTTCTAAGCTACACAAAACATACATGTTAACACAATTGTTGTACATGGCAATATATTTTTCACATTTCTAATATCAAAGCCAGAAATTATTTACTTTGAATTTTAAATTAGTTAAAAGTTTTCTAAACACTAGTAACATTAAAGAATTGTTACAGTTCTCAAGATGGAGAAAACCAGGTTGAATTACCTCACCATCTCTAAATAAAGTACCAACAAAAAAAGTTTGGAGGAGACTGACAGCACTGAATGACAATGCTACGAAGGAACAGAAAGTATGCAAAAATACCATACTAGATGGATACAATAGATTGGAAAGAGTGGAGGGATGGAGCTGTGTAACTGTTCCCAACAGCTGTAGGATTTCACAGTCAAAATCATGGTATTGCAGATACTGGGCAACAACTGAGCCGCAAACCCCACCAAGTCAACGGCTCCACTAGCAAGTAATAATACAGTGCACCAGGAGAAGGTCTATGAAGAGAAACGCCTCTGAAGTCAAAGGGGAAACTATACCTGTTCCAGGGATTCTACTTCAGACTAGCTACTGTTTGTTCTTATGGACTGAACGTCCGTGAATAGTTAGAGCATGCTGGGTGCATTCCGGAAGCACATCTTCTGAAAGAAATCTAGTTCATGTGCTCCAATACTGCTCTGTGATGTGAACAAAAATGCAGTAAGTATGCACAAGCAAAAAAATTGCTTCTAAAACATACCTCAACACAAAGCAAAATGCTGAAGTTGATTTACAGCATGTGCCCTTAATCCATTTTAACTCTGAAGTAAAATGCTTTAATGAAAAACCTCTATCAACCTTGACTGTAGTAATGTTGACTTGGTAAGAGCCCTAAATTCTGGTTTGGGCAATGCTAAATTGTATGACATCAAATATACAAGGAAACACACTTGTAAAACTCCCGGCAATGTGGGGCTCCTGTCTTTGCTGATCCTTCTACTGTCATGATAGAAATACTTACTCCTAATAACGAGAATATGAAAAGCAAAGGAAAAAGTACACTAGGATGGTCAGAGTTAACGTTTCCTGGATCAGCTGGATTGCTGTTTCCAGATCAGTGCTACAAATACTGATGTGAACGTTTGGGAGAGGACTTTCCTGTATGTCTCACTGGTAATGAATGTTGCGCATGCACTATTAATGGTTCCTACAATTTTCAGTGGTATGTGTAAGTAAGAAAACAAACACTCTAACTACAGAATCTTCACCCAGGAAAGGAAAGGAGAACTGGAAATAAGGGAATTTGGCACAAAAAGAACTACCTAAGCACTGAAGAAGAGATGCCTAGGAATGCAGGAGTACAAGCAAATTTCTTAAAAATAAAGAAATAAATCTGACGTGACACAGAGGCAGATAGAAGTAAAATCTATCCCTTGATAAGGCATTAGAAAATTCCTAGAGACATAATAATAAAAATAAACCAAACTAATTCCTCTAAAAAAAAGTGCATGGAGTGAGATAGGTTCTGTGTTTCTGTGGAGTACCAAAGAATAAAATACCCCATATCAAAATCCAAGAAATAACTCAGGCCTTCAAGAGAAGGCTAAGTACTACAGAATTGTAGATACATGTAATGGTAGCTCATGGATTTATGGTAAAAGAAAGAATACAGAGAAAATGCTGAATTCATAACGGATGAGATAGTGTTTCATGTGAAAAAAATGTCTTAAGAATAAGAAGAGAGATACTTGGGCAATCAACCTAATGAAGAGCTTGTAAAAATAATCAGCAATAAAATGCAACAGGGAAATGCAGGAAAAACCTACAAATCATGAGCTCCAAATGACCATGCTTGTCACATGGATAAAGATTTTAAGAAGCTGTCTAATGAATTTAGCAGATTAATTTCAAATTATGTTGGAAAAGAGATTAAAACCACTGGAAATGTGCCAGGAAAAAAATAATTATGCATGGTTCCAAGTCTTCAAAAAAGTAAATACAACTTCAGCTCTTCATAAAATAAGGAAGATTCTAAGGACAGAACAGGAAAACAGGCTCTTTTATAAAGATCTAGGAGAAAAAAAAAAATAAAAATCATAGTATAGGTCTATGAAGCACTGATTATAGCAACAACCTTGACTTTCTGAGATTGTGACAAACTGAGTCACTAGCACAAGTAGGGTAGCTCCTATATGAAATATTTGAAGTCTCAAAGGCAAAATTACCACAAAAGCTGTTAAATACAAAAATGGTGCCCCACAAATGGTATCCTGAATAAGAGATAATGTATTGCACTGAAAAGGAGTGTCTGGCAAGATTAAACTTACCTGATATTTATTTTGAGCTTAAATACAAAAGTGATATGCTAAAAGATATATTAAAATAAATGAAAGCAGAATACTAAACAACCCAGAGAGATTTAAAGAACAACAAGAGGCTAGTTGGGTGAGGCACAAGAATTCTAATTAGAAAGACACAAGTCACTGAGTAAAAGATTCAAGGGAAGTGAAGGAAAGGAAAGAGAGAAGGGAAGGAATGAGAGAAGACAAGTGTGAGAGAAGATGCTCATTAAAATCTTTTAATATCAATGGGCAGGAGAGACATTTTAGCCCACATACATGGATTAAGTAGTATAACAGCTAGACATTAAGATTCAACCTAGAGATAAAATGATGTAATGTATTCTGGAATAAAATCCAAGGAAACACACCATAAAGGTGTACTGGATCACACTTCAGATTTCCAGTAACTTATTTCTTGTACTCAAAAGCGTTAAACTTGCTGAAATAATTATCTCTGATGATGTATAAATGGCTAAATCTCTGCCATTTAAAAAGTATTTATGCAATAAGACTATGATCTACACATGCTCTTAAGTCAAGGAATTTCACTTTGCCTGTCCTGACCTGAAACTGTAATAATACAAGTTGCAGTACCAGATACATCCCCTTCAAACTTGCCAGTTCTTTGTGGTCCACCTGGCTCAGCTCCTATAAAGTATTTTTTATGCCTCTGCCCTTTTTCCAAGAGGTATGCAACCTTCCAGAAGGGAAGACTGAACCATATTCCATTTTTTCCCTAACCTTTGTCGGTGAGGACATGAGGTAAAAAGGAAACCTTGTCTTCCACAAAGACCTTCCCTCTACTGTTATGCTTCCACTGGCATCTTGGGCTTGAGCTAGTCTGTTATTTAAACCATTTATCACCAAAGGAAATTTTGATGTTTCCATCTGAACTTCTAGAAAGAGGGATTCTAGAGAATCTTGCAAAGATTCCTCCTCAAAAAAAGAAACAAAACCAACCAATCAAAAAAAACCCCAAAACCCAACCAAAAAAATCAAACAAGGGGATGCTGCATGCCTTGCTTTACTTCTGCCATAAAGTGTAGTCCTCTGCCTTTCACTCAACAACCTTCTGCAGTCCTTTCCAGGGGAGAACAAGTGAATGGCTGGTGTTCCCAGTGCTCCTGTTCCCAAACTTCTTCAGAAGAATCTAAGGTTGTGTACCAGGAAGAAAGCTCAGAGAAACAGATACTGTAAAGCCTGGAAAAGCACTAGGGGTCACACTTCATGGGAAAAAGGTTAAATAGAATAATGATATTTTACTTGATTATTTCTGTCTAAACTTAGAACAGGAAGTCTGGTAATTGAAAAGAATGGCTCGAAACAACTAAGCTAGCAGTAAGGTGAATTAATTTTGTTAGAAAAAAAGAAAATCTGTTATGTGAATGAGATTGAGATCTTAATTGTAACATAGGGAAATCAGTTTTGTTGTTTCCTGCTTTATGAGATGAGAGATGGGAACCTGGAAGTAGGCACAGAGTCTACTAAGAAGAGCAAAAAAGCTGACCTTAGAACAAAGAAGAAGGGAAATGTGAAACAAGAACAAATTGGAGGCAAAGTTATGTCTCACTGCATTGTTGCCAACAGGAAATGAATTTGTAACTTCTTATGCTTCAAACAACTCAGGAAAGATTTTAAATAAGGAAGAGAAAATAGTGCTAGAGAGACTGGGAAACTAAGCAGGTCTTTGACAGTTTACAAGAAAACTCAAGGGAGAAATTTTAACGCTGATAGCCAGCTGCCACTAGAAGCCAATTGGTCTTGGATACAAACCAGGAATAATACCCTGAGAAAAATGGTATCACAGTCAAAGATATTCCTCCATATCAAACAGGACTTATTAAATTTTTCAAGCTTTTTCGGAGAGATCATTTGCAGGAATGAAAGCTGCACATCTCCAAGTGACTCTGGTAACTGTTAAAGAACCGAAGCCTTTTCCAGTTCAAGTAGTGGGATGTTCTAGGATGTTCAAATCCTTGAAGAATTTGTTTAATTACAGGTTTTTACACTCTAAAATCATAACAGCTATCTGTTTGACTTAAAATAATACCATAACAGATTTCTCCATTTCTAGAGACAAATTTAGTCCATTTTGTATGAAACTGGCACAAAATTTTCTCATTAATAATTATTAATAATGATAGCGTCTTCTTTCAATGCAAGTATAATTTTTATAACGTTAAGATACTTTAATGCCAGGGGTTAATTACTGTGGCTTAATGATTGTCACATAAGAAGCCTTGACAGATTCAGAAAGTTTGGGTAATCCTTGAAAGACCTCAGGATGTTTCTAAGGTTTGCTTTCTCTTTCTCCCTCCCCCCTTTTTTTAAAATCCCCTCTTTTCAAAGGTACAATTTTTTTGAGTAAAATTTGCATGGAGCATTGCCTTCTGCACAACTGCAACTCATAGAAGACTCAGAATTAATACTGTGTCTCTAATACATTTTCTCATAAAGGGGGCTAACAAATCTAATTAATCCTCAAAATAGTAAGTAAAACACCTTAGAAACTACAGCAAAACTTTTATACCAGTTTATCAGTGACACTAAAACTAATTTGTCTGGGAAGAATGAGTCTTTTCTTCTTTTATTCAAAAGAAAGGCTGAGTTATATCAGAAGGCCTTGTGGCCGCCTCTTTTTTGGCAGAGGGAGGGTGTCCGTAACTCATGGCTTCTTTGACAAAGTCTTAGAACCCACATAATATTAAGATATGTGGATAACAATTCAGAAATAGGCACATATGTAAGATGCTTGCCTTTGGAAAAAGATCTCTTTCCAGTTATTCTTTTCTTCTTGGCACTGAAAATCCTATCTTCCATTATGATAGCCAATGCTACCAGAAAAAAAAAACCAAAGTAAAAACTATTGGCACAGTTTCAAAGATGTTTTTGTTGTAACAATCCAGTTGCCTTTTTTTGTTCATTGGAAGTTCAGTGTCCTCCTGCTCTTTCTTCAACACACTTCTCCCCTAGAAACTTCTCTTTGTTCATCTTTGCTTTTTAAAACACATTAGTCTATGTAAAACCGGAGCGTACAAGCAAAGAAGGAAATAGAGTATGAAGAAAGTGCCATACAAAATAACAGTTAGCTGGAAAATGATGAACCAGAGCAAGTCCATGATACTTGAATATTCCAGTTCAAAACACAGCAGGTGTCAATAGTACAAGTCAAAATGCCAGTATATTCAATAACTGAACAGTGTAGAAAAGCCTCTTTTTTTTTTTTAGAATCCAAGAGCAATAACTATTACAATGTGGGAAACATATATTAAAAAGAGCCTTGAGGTTTTTTTCTTTACTGTTAATAAACATGTCATTCCACCCAGAGTGTCAGCTGTATCCAGTTAGTTATTACTCGATTAGTTCACATGAAAGTGGAGAAGGAAAACATTCACAGGAATCTTGATGAACAACACTATGGGATGATTCCTACCATGTTGCTCTGAGATTGTGTGGCCCCGTACATAGTAATGCCATTTGATGGTCCTGCTAATTGCGGTGTATCTGGCTGTATAAATCCTCTTCTATCAATTAAGCTATGGAATAAACAAAATAAAGAAAAAGTGTTACAGATATTTCTGATCAGTAACTACCTCCTCTCGATAAAAAGAAAGTGAAAAATTTTCTGTCCTACAACAGACCATAATACATTGCCAATACCTTCAAATGTTCCCTTTTATTCAACTGAAGTATAAGACTTCATTTCTACTCATCAGCAAGGTAGTTGTTTCCTTGTAATACTATCTGCCACATAATCACATGTACTGCTACTTTTCTGGATTTTTGTCACAGACAAAAGATTTTGAAGCTTACCAGCAGATACCACAAAACCTAAAAATTTTAAACCACGGGTGTGAAAACAAATTGCAAAGGTCACTAGTGCACATAAAATCAGTATATATTTTGAAGCTTCATTTGTTATCAGTTTCCACACCTCTAAATTAAAGCTACTTAATCACAAAATTTAGAAAGAGGAACTTTCGCTCAGACTACTTATTGCCAGGTGTTTCACGACAGCTGCTTAAGGCTGTTTATAGTGGTCCACTAGTACCAAAGTGATGCACTCATAAAAATTATTTCCATCTAATAAAATGTTTTGTGGATAAATTAATAAAAATAGGTAAAAAATAATCTATGTAAGATTATAAAGAAAATAAATAGAATGGAATAATCTCACCTAAAGATTTTGCTAAAATTCCACATGTATTTTTACTCTTGTTTTGATAGCTATAAACCTCACTTAGGTTCTGCTAGTTAATACTCATAAAAAGCTGAATGTACAGACAAAAGTACTATATTACACATGCGTATTAGCTCATATCACTTCCATACAAAAAAAAAAACCCCAACCAACCCAAAAATGGTTATGTTTCAATCCATTCGAAGTAGGGTGGACTTCTGTTTGTTTGGTTTTGTTGTTGTTGTTTTAAATTCTATGTAGCTTTCAATTCTAGCTCTAAATATTTTTGATCATAGGCCAAAATGTTTATTTCCTGTGACTCCAACAATGTTATTTCCCATCTGGAAAACTACAAATTTTACCACAGGATAGGAAATTTTAGCCATAGGGTTTATAGTTCCAGTTACTAAGACATAATGGCAGGAATGCCTTAAAACACCTGAGAGCTAAAGTCAGCATAGAAGTGGTTTTATTTGCTGATTTATGGGACCTCTACATTCACTAAGGGTCCAGACGGCTTCAGTTTTAAAAGACAAGAACAGGATGCATAGAAAAATCAAAGTCAGTGAGGTTTCCACCATTTGGAGACCAGTTTAAGCTTTCCTCATGAAGGTCTGCAGAATAGGCTTTTATGTACATTCAGAACACTTAGAAATCCACCTGACATTATAATCTGCCATGTGAAAAGCACTCCTACAAAAAAATCAGAAAAGTTATATAATTTATTATATCATAACACTAGTTAGACCTATGCTGACAGCTATGGATCTGAAAGTTACTGTTGAGGACATGTAAAATGCATTCTGAATTTCCTAGCAGAGGTTTAAAAATGAGAAACATAATCTTTAACAAAATTGAGAAAAGTCTGGATTATTTACAGATCCTCTCTTGATCTGCATTCCTTTCTCAAAGGCATTTGAACATTTTGAATTTTAAGCTGTAATTGCTGATAAGCCACTTTAACCGAATTTAAAGAAAAAATTAATATTTAGTGACAGCACACAGCTGAGATTAAAAGTAAAAAAAAGCACTGTTATCATTTACATTTTACAGACAGAAAATTTTTACTGTTGGTCTCAAAATACCTCCTTCTACATCTACTTTGGCATCTAAATAAGTTATGTTGATACACTGAATTTAGGAAAAAAATGTACAAACTCTGTTAAAACACAGGAATCAATGCCAGTCTGATCTAATTGTGTGCTGCTATTTGTATCAGCCTAAGACGCTATTTTAAATACTGAGAAATATGCAGTTTTAATAAAGATTTCTATCTGAAGTCAAACAAAAGACTTTGAAGCATGGCATTGAGTTTGTGTGTCATATACTTTTATGAAAAGCAAAATGGCAAATTGGAGTGTGACTCAAGTCACATTTGTTAGATATGTTAAGTTTAATATACTTTCAAATTGCTCATCATGCAACAGCTAAATATTAGAAGGTTTTTACAGCTGGAAGTTATTAACTGCAGTAGCAAAAGTCCAAAGATCAGATAAGCAAGTTTATTTTCATTTCAGATGTGAATCTTAGATATATTTTACAGGATCTGACCACTAACTTAGTTTAACCACAATTTACCAACTCATCTCTCTGCTACCAAAAAAAACCTTAATTAACAATTATAACGGACAGTAGACCAAAACTTTTTGTTGAGTAAACTCACACAATCAAAGAATATTTTTTTCACCAATAATCATGTGGCTTCATTTATACTAACAATAGTTTTGATACTCTTACCTTGGAGAGAGGGGCCCACAGAGTGCAGCACAGCAATTAGTAAAGATGTTGCCATAACTGTATGGATTGTAGTTTTCTTTACCTCTTTTATTTGACCATGATCCTTTAATCTGAAGAGATATGAACAAGACGCATCACATATAATACAATACAGAAAATGGCTGAGACAAATTAAGGGTTACCAAAGCAGCGATGTGCTATTTACATCAGAGGCAGACCAGAGAAAACCCATGATCCCGCTTTCCAAACAGCTTAGAGCTTTGGGATCTTATAAAAGACTGGACTCTAAAATCTTACAAGCAAGCACATGCTTTACCTCTGTAGATTTAGACAACTCAAAATCTCAAAGGATCAATATACTCACAGTAGGAATCTCAGCACCTAAACATAATGGTCTAAGTGTAATTTTACAAATGATAAGGCACATTTTACAGAAGAGGTTCAATTGCAACATACCATTAAAGCCAACAATAGAGTCCTTCTCTTCCATACTCTTGCGTAAGATCTCAAGCTGTGCAATACCACACATCTTCCCTAAAGTTCGCAAATGGCTCTAAAACACTGTGAAGCAACTGCAGTAATTTACTACCTTTTAGGGCATACTACATTTTCTTTTAGCTAGTCTTGCTTTTCTGTTGGAGATACTTGAGAGCCTGAGTGAAATGTCTGTATTCAACTGGAAATGTATGCTTTAAATGAAATTACTGAACAGTTTACTTGAAATTCAATGTTACATTGATGCAGTTCCCTGCTATCTGACTTTCAACAATCCAAGAGACATTTATTTCAGGGAAGGGTGGGGGGAGGATAGTGAAAGCACTCTGGGTCCATCTAGAGAGACAATGTTGGCCTAAACCTAACAACTGAGGAATACCAGAATATCTCATCTGTCTTACTAATGGGGTAGATTTCTTCAAAGTCAGGCTACATGCTTGGATACCTGATGTCAAGTCACAACTCATTCTGACCCTGCTTGGTGAGTTTTTTCTGATTGATTGGTATTTATTGTAAAATTTTAATAGAGACCTTAAACAACAACAAAACGTGTTTGACAGTCCAAAAGATGCTATTTTTATATTTGCCAGATACCTATGAAAAAAGGTATGACAGAAAATTACAATGAAATAATTTTAAGATAGTGGTAATTTGTCAGATTACTTGCTAATTTCCAATATGCTTTCTATACCATTAGCTACTTAGGTATCTTTATTTTTTCCTTTCATTCATTTTGTATTTCTCCTTTTAGTTCGAGGAGGACACATTAAGCTCCATACGCTGTTAAACACAATTTCACACCAAAACAACAGAAACCTATGTGCAAAATAGGAAAACTGCAGAAATGATAAATGAGTTGACCTTTAAGTTAATGATATACTCCTTGCTAGAGGGTTTAGACCTTAGACTGGCAAAGAAATTTCAAAGGAAAAATAAAAAACGAAATTTTTGTTTGGGGAATTTGACACTTGGCAATTTTTACAGGAAACAATTTTTGAGTCAAAGAATATTTAGGACTCCCAGTGAGAGATATTGAAAATTATTTAGTAATTTCATACTGTATTACATTATGTTTCTTTGTCTTCTCTCTTCTCTATTTTCCTATTTCAAGATACAGGTCCTGTGGGTATATATCATAATGGACACACTACGTAACCAGCACGTCTTCAAGCCACAACAAATACAGTCTAAATGATCTCTTCTGATATAATTGAATCAAGCATGACCAGGTTACTTCCTTCTTTCCCACTGAGGCATTCACAAAATTATGCAAGCAGGTAGGACATCTCTAAGAATAACAGAGAAAAAACTTCTTGTTGCTATATAGAAACATACTATGAACTTACATCTTCATTAGTTGTTTGATTGGAGCTGATCAAATACGTGTGAAAACCTGAGAGGCCAACAATGGACCATACTGAGAAAAAACACACCACAGCTTCCAGCACAGTAATTGAAAGTTAAGGAAATATATGTAAAAGGAAAAAAAAAAAAGTTATATCCGATAACAAGTAGTTGCAGTCACAAAATTCAGGGAAGGCAACTTATAGTCCACAAGTCCCTTGAGATCTTTGGGGTATTTCAAAGGGGTCAGCAAAAATTAAACTCAGAAAAGCAAGCCCACTGTCAGTAGGCTTTAGTGTACAGGCCACTGAACAGCATCTATACCAGCAAATATTCAGGGTCTGCAGATCGAAAAAGGCTAGAAACTGCTGATGAGTGGTTCTGATCTTAACTGTTGAAATTCAAATTTTCATGTTCACTCTGTAAAAGTCATCACGCTTGTATTAAGACGGGTAAATTGATAAGTAACAGTAAATAACAGTTCTGATGGGGTGAGAGGAAGATCAAACACAAGAAAGGTAACCCAAGGCTAGCTGAATAGCAAATACTGAACAGATATCTTGTACAAATATTTAGCGAACAATGGGAGTCCTGAGCCAGGACTAAGGGTTCTAGATCTGTGCTCATACATATAGCAACAACAGTTAAAGAAACTGCATCTCAGTCGTATCTTCTAACTGCTAGACTCCTGTCTTTCTTCTGTTACTGGTTAAGATGCTGATAGGGATCTTAACACTAGCACCAAAGTGCACTAAGTCCAAGTAAAATATAAAATCCACTTATTCTCTCAAGTCCCTCTACTAACTGGATATATTCTCCATTACAACTGTGGGGAGTGCCTGAATAGCCCAGCCTTGGCAAATGTCCTAGATAGCAACTCCTGTTAAGCCTGTGAGCGTAAATAGCTGGGGTGGGGTTGAATACTCAAAACTCAGCAGCATTTACCCAAAACTTATCACATTAACGAGGAAGACTGTCAACTCCCAACTCACTGTGCTGCTATTAAACAGTAGCTGAGGAATTAGAAGATGACTTTTTGAAGGAGACATCAGCCTGAATTGTAAGAAAATCACAAAAATTGTCAGAAGATATCTTGAAGTGGGAACACCAGCAGCCAAAACTTGGTTTGGTACAGCCACAAGTGACTCTGCTGGCATCTTCCTAGCCCAGACAGAGCACCCTCCCTGTCAGATGCTGTCAGTAGTCTGCATCCAGGCAGCAGACTGCTATATGTGGTGCAACATATGGGGACTTGCACCCGAGGTACATGTATGTGAGCTCATGGGGCGCTTTCTCACTCACCTGCATGTTGTAGGGGGTAGCAAAGATACACATACAGCAAGAGCACCCACACCTCCAAGAGGGTAGCGAAGGTGTGCCCATGCATGTGTGTGTACCGCTAGAAATTTTCAAACTAGCTGTGTTTCCAATCCTTATAAACCACATAACCCAAATGCTCTAAAGAAATAACCAGGCTTTAAAAGTGAGATTGGTATACTAGGAAAGTCAGTCAGCACTCAGTCTTGGATACTTACTACAGTTCATATATTCCTTTAACTCTAAAGGAGTCAACCCCTCAGCAATCAGACAATAAAGTTGCTTCTAAACTTTATATCATCAAGCATAAAAGAGCAACTTTCTATAGAAAGCTTCCTGCCATGTTTTTTTATTTGCACATATTTTTACATACACACAATACTATGAACTCAGAATACATCTGCTTTGGGAATGTTATCTCCTATACCACTTCGATTGTAAATTGTTTTTAGGGAACATGAATCAACAGCAGAAAAGGCTTTGGTTCCTAGAAAAATAGATATAATAAATCAGTCGGAACAAGACAAGGGGAAAAATAGGATAAAAATAATCTGTATAATAATCATATATCAACCTTTAGTGAAGTCAGTTTCCAAGACAACATCAACTCAAAATATTCCACAACAAGGACACAGCCTTAAAACATACAAAAACATCCTTATCGCTGAACCTATCAATAGAAGAGAAATATGACAGCTCCTCACCATTATACAGGGACACAGACTGGAAAATGCATGGATGGATGTAAGTATTTGTGATAAATAATCCTAATAGTAGTTAACAGTGAAGAGTTTTGTACCGCTGGTCTGCTCTCACTTAATGAACTGGGAAATACCTAAAGCATCTGTGTAACTTCCCCTAGAACCTAATTCACTCAGAGTGGTTTAAAAAGCTGGAAAAGAGTCATTTCCATTCTGAGCAAATCTGCTCCAAAAGCAGCATGATGACCATAGTGCATTGCTGAGCCCCATGTTCACTACTCTCTTCCTCAAACTATGTGGAGTCAAAACACAACACAGGAACGCAGTTTCAGTTGACTGTGCAACAGCCACAGCTAAAGCAAGGAGAACGAGGGAGAATGGATAAGGAAGTAGACTGTTGTTAGCAGAGGGTTCAGAAAAGCGTAAAAGAAGGGATCGACCCCAAGACATTATGCACATTACAAACTGGGATTTTAGAGAGTAGAAACTCTAAGGAAAGCTGTAAATGAGCACTGTTGGGTAGAATCTACACACCAAGACTAAGAGGAAGAATCATCAGGTCAGAAAAGGGGAACCTTAGAGAGAGAAAGGCTCTCTGCAACCTCATCAGGTGTCAGAGCACATGACTAACAGTCTTTGCCATGATTACACTCAAGAGGATCCTGAAAAGTCAATTGCTCTCCCCTGGTAATTCCTACTGACAAAAAAAGGGAATTCCTTTCAGTTCAAGACCTCTTTTAGTTCCCCATTGAAAGTGACTTCTTTCCCCAAGAAAGTGACTTCTTTCAGTTCCTCACACCAAGATCCAAAAAGATGTCTAGAACAGCAGGTGTTAGATTAACATGACTCCATTAATTAAAAAACAAAACCAGAAAAGCAATATATTGTCAACGTAAAGCATAACTTACTAGCATAATATAACACTCCCTTAGTATTTCACACAGCATTGTTAGCAAGACAGAAATGGCAGTGTTATTGGCAATCTGTGCCTTAATTGACTGGCTTGCTCCAAAGCAGCATTCCCAATACTATTTGCACAATTTGATTTTTTACTGTTAGGAATTGTAATCGAACTATTGAACTGTCCAACATATCACTATCAAACCAGGCCATTTCTACAAGATGCACTACTGAACCTTTCCAAGCAGCACATCTCTGAATACAACTATGGATAAGCAGCCCATTGTTCCTGTACAAGGATCCTCAAATGCACAATTACCTTTTGATTTAAGGACAATTGAAAGCTATTCTCAGTTTGAAAACAGTTTGAAAGAATAATCGTTTGTAAGAAATGATTCCAATTGTTTTAATTGGAAGCTACTGTTGTGCTATTTAGGACAGTTGGTTTGTACTTTGTAAAATTTGTACCAAAAAAATCTGAACAGTGGTTTGTTTAAAAAGAGAGTTTACACCTCAGTGACTCTACCTGAGGAACATACACATACAAAAATTGTATCTAGAATGTGGAGAATTTGACACTTGGAAAAGCTACCTGGAAAGAGAGCTCGCTCTCTATGCACAACTACAAATGACCGAGTAAGAGGTTTTTCTTCCTACTTTTCTATGGAAAAGAATGAACTGTGTGAGGTACATTGGACAAAAGAGTTTTCCTTGGCACAAGTATGGGAAAGAAATCTTTTTATGGTGTAAACTGTTTATTTAGACACAAACCTTTCAAAACATATAAATAAGGAGTGGAAGCTTACAGTCTGTACAGAAATGTAAGGAAGAAACTCAACTGTAGTTATGTCAGCTTTCCATTTTTCCATTGTTAGCTGCTTTCACACAGAAGGAACCTTTTCCATTCTCACTGAGTAGAAAATATACAGAAAGCTCCTGTGAAGTGATAAAAAAGAATGTGGAGTATTTACAGTACAGGACCACAGAATGGTTTAGGTCAAAGGGGACCTTTAAAGATAATCTAGTCCAATCCCCCTGCCAGGGGCAGGGATGTCTTCCACTAGGATCAGGTTGCTCAAAGCCCCATCCACCCTGGCCTTGAACACTTCAAGGGATGGGGCATCTCTGGGATGCCTCTGGATGCCTCTCTGGCCAACCTCTTCCAGCATCTCATCACCCTCACTGTAAAAACTTTCTCTGTTATAGCCAACCTAGATCTACCCTCAAGTTTAAAACTGTTGTCCCTTGTCCCATCACTACAGGCTCTGGTAAAAAGTCTTTTTATGCCTTCCTTGTGAACCCCCTTTACATATCGAAAGACCACAATAAGATCCCCCCCAGAGTCTTCTCCAGGCTGAACAACAGTAGTAGTCCCTGTGCATGCATGTGTATACTTTTATGTAACAGAAGTTGATACTTGAAAATGAATTATCTAAAACCAGTAAATCAACATAAGATTACTTTCAGGAATTGAACTCTTCAGGGACATCTTATGGTGTCAGTTGTTCCACAATCTACTTTTTCTTTCTTGACAAGAATCAGCCATTTTGGATACTTTCTGGTGTAAAAGCAGAGGAATTTGAGTATTTTAAATGAAACCACAGCATGGCTATGGTGTGATATATTTATGAATTCTATCACAAATATATGGAGTGTATTTCCATCACACATAGAAACTACAGACCTTTGTCATGAGTACTCCTCAGAGTAGTACTCTGCAAAAGATGAAGAATAAAAACCACTCCAGGTTATAAGTCTCTTTCCTACCTCCAACACGTGGTGATAAATTTTATTGTGCAGGAAGTGATGAAATCATTAACTGAAAAAGTCCCAAATGCACATATCCAACAACAGCAAGAAAACAAGCAAAACCATCTCAGATGTTATTTTGCAACAAGATCTACAATTTGTTTCAGCGAAAGGATATCTTGCAGGACTGTCCTTCAGGGCATTGAGGAACCCTGTTTGTTGAGAACCTGTAGAAACAGAACCCAAAATGACCAGTTGAGTGAGAAATTGGACTACCGGCTTTTTTCACCATAGTTAACACAATTAATACTTGAAGATCAACCACATAATCATATAATAGATTTACTAATATGAATCTGAAAATATGTTGCTCAGCAGCAACAACATCAGAAAGAAACCTTGGGTAAGTTATCAGGTCTAACATCTGCAGGGTATTTTCTCAGTCATACCAAACTGACATACGCATACTTTCCCATGAACAAGATTTCTGATTATCCCTGTTCTTTTCAGACCTAACATGGAAAAAAAAAAATTATAAGCTACTTTTGTATTTTGAAATACTATTTTCAAAGTAACTTTCTGACTTGGAAGATTTATTCTATAAACCCAGATTCTCACCTTTCTCCCCTTCACCCTGGAAGCAGCCATAGTTCTCTAGACTATAATCTTGCTCCTACTGCACTTGCACAGGTTTTTCTAATAGGCGCTTGTTGCCTCTGCGCAAATGAGAGTACTAGCTGAAAATATCTCAAGAGTAGCACGATCCAATGAACTAGAGATGCAGAAGCATCCACTTGGGTTCCAGAACCATGAGATATTAATCAAAAAGGATAATTTGTCAATTTGCTGAAGATTTGTATGAAGAGAGAAGAATCTTGTCTTTAAAACAAAAAGAAAAAATATATACATTTGTGTATACTGTGTGTACACTGCCATTAAGAAGTGAAAGTTACTTACCTTGTGTTTGAGCCTTTTCAGACTCTCATAATAGCCTCAAGGGACAAGTCTAATGGAACTTCCCCTACTTTCTTACTATTTTTAGGATCCTTAATGGCAATGGCAGCAGGTAGGTGTGAACTCTAACCCCTACTGTTGGTCACACTCTTCCAGTCAGTTCCTAATACACCAGAAATGGAAGGTTCCTCACTGCAACAAACAGTTGAAATACTGATGCCTCAAACAGAGCTGAGTAACTGTAAAGAGAGACACTACCACTGAACATGTGTTAAGCTTGGGGAGATTGAAGAAAATCTTGCAAGACAATGTCTTTAAAGTATCCTACTTACAAATTCATTTTATTATCTTCGGTAGTATTGTGTGCACATATTCTTAATCCTGGAATGGGCAAATTTCCAATGAATGCCTCAGAAAACAAAAAGTGAAGTTGTATCTCATATCTCATCACCACTTAGGCCCACCAAAAATTATAAAAATGGCAGCTTGCAAGATGTATTAAAAAATGTTAGAAATTTCAAAAATTTGTCTAAATCAAGAGACATCTAAAAAACCCAACAAAACAGGTTTCCTACATAATCAAAAATGTCAGAGAAGGAACTTCCCCATTAGGATGAACCAAAAAGGATTTTTTTTTTTTTAACATCAATGCTTACAAGTTGCTATAAATATCTCTCAGTCCCTTCTCAAAAGAGTATTGTCACAAGGCACTCAGTCTAACACAGGATATCTAGAACAAAGTGTTACCAAAAGTAATCCTGATCAGATTGTCTTCACAAAAGTTAAGAACAGGATTTGACTAAGTTAGCATGACTTCCTCTAGAACCAAGAATTTTGCCATGACTTATGGAAATACATATGGATGACTTGAAACGCAGTCCCAGGTCTGAAAACAGACTCATTCAGACACACTAACACAGTCTATGCCAAGTACAAAGGTGCAGATTAAGTAACTGAGAATCCTGTTTACAGGTTAGCATCAACTGAAGAACTGCAGGACTGCAAAACAACAAAAATGGTTGAGTGGTAACTATTAGAAAGGGAAATATGGGGACTTCTAGAAGCATGATAGACACAGAGAGAATGGAGTGATTGATATGATAAGAAAACCTTATTTAAAGCACTCTTTTTTTTAATACAGTCAAGGTTATAGTAGATAATTTTGAATGCTAATTTATGTAGCAAATTAACCTCAAGGAACTAATCACAATTCATACCTGCTACCATTGCCTTTGAGGACCAACCAATCTTTATAACTAAGGAGATTTTTCCTCTCATCCAAGGTAGATAAACCTCCATACCAAGAATATTTTACATCTGATAGACAATTCAGCATTTAACATTTACTATACATTATCTGTAACACCTACACAATGCTAAAGTGCTTCTCAACCACACAGAGGCACAATTAATTTCTCTCCTCTAATTCATACTTAGAATTAGGTATGGACACTGTAAAGATAAAATCCACCGGATAAATCTACTTGACATACAGATCATGAAATATTGGCATAATACTGCTAATTCATATGCTGAAAACTAAAGAAAAAAAGCACTGTAGTCTGTGAAATAAAAGTAGGCTAGCTTCAAAAGTAGTTTACATTGTTAGACTGGTGATATTTTCGACTATTGAATTCTAGCAAAATGAGAAGAGAGAAAAAACTCCATGCTTTCTTCTTAAATGTAAAAGATGTGCATGTATATACTCATGTATGCCCAAATACATATCAGGGATTTAAGTATTAATGGGAAGTGTTCTCTGTCCAGTAATTACTTTTCCCTTTTTAAACAATATGTACATCTTATCTCTGATCTTTCAACTGCTACTAGAAATGCGTATCTGGCAGAGAAAACAACTTGTTGATCCAGACTCCCTCAAAATTAGGTGCCCCTAATTCTAGACTACATGCTGGGTTTCTGAGCTACAGAAGAACCACTCAGTGCTTGTACCCTTTTGTGACGCACAAATGAGAGCAGGAATTCTGCTTTTTAAAATACAAATTTTCCCTGCACAACGTAAGCAATTTAGGAAATTGAGCACAACTAGCATATTTCCAGTGAAGCAGTCTCTAAATATTGCTATTATCAAGTTAGCTTTATAAACGTGTTATAAACGGAAATTATTACTTCTATCAGGTTTCCATCATAATACAGAATACAAAGAAATAAGATCACATTCCCAAAATAATTAAAGAAATACTCTTCAAGGCAATATCCTATATAATTAATGGAAATATAGAACACTCTTAAACTTCCTAGTGATAGTGGGTTAAGACACCCACAACATACAAAAGGTCTTTAAAGACAAGATGTATAATTATCTCCATAAATCAGATCATCATCATCATATAGGAGCTACCAAATTTGTTAGTTGTGTGAAAAAAAAACAGTACCCGAAAGAGAGTTTACCTCAAACCCAATCCAGAATACAAATAAAAATCCACCTCAAACCCATTAATATTCACCTTCCTAGAGCTTATCTGATTCACTCCATTATGACTTGGTTATTCTTAAAATGTCTATGCAAATGAAAGTAACTTGTGTTAAAAATAGAGTTGAGAAAGATGTAAAACTAAATGGCAAACAACAAAAAGTGTAAAATAGCTCCAATCTATTTCCTAGTAATTTACCTGTGTTTGGAAGGCAAGTGGCCATGCTTACAGTTTAAAAGCACACAAAAGTTCTTCAGGAAAATTATACTATCTGTATACTTAGACATACAGTATGTGTGCTGCTTTTCCAATAAATCATCCATAAAAGGACCAAAGAAAAAAAATAAAAAGAAAATTAACACTGTATTAAGACAAAGCCATCACTAGATCAATGACTACCGTGACCAGGGTCTACTGTAGACCAGAATGGGATTCACTGGGGATTGTGAAGCTTCAGAGAAAAGGCAAATAAATAAATAAATAAACAAACCCTGAATGATCAAAAGATTAACTTAAAAATAAAAAACTCAAGCAAATGGCTACATACGTAATCTGATTTCACCAGCATACTTACGAAGGATGACGTGGGTGATAACGAATGCAAATATAAAGACTGTCAGAAAGGACAGAGATAAAATAAACATATAAAAAAATCTGTAGTTTCTTTTCCCCACACAGTTGCCTACCCAGGGACAGTGGTGATCAAACCGTTCTGAAATGAGAGGCAGAAGAAAAAAAAATGGAAAACAATTAATAAAATGCTGTTTATTTGAAAAAAAGCTCTCTGAATACTATATTAAACCTCATGATTTAACTGGCATTTGCAAATTAGCCACAGAGAAATTCTTATTTAGAAAGGAAAAAATAGGAAAAAAAAAAAGAGGAGTATTTTAATGAAACCTTACAGCTTTTAAAGAAATAAAGCATGGCCGAGGTGAGCTCCTGTTAAACTAACAGCAATATTATGATAAATTGTGCAGTCAGACCAATAAGCATGTATTTATCCACTGTCACATAGAGCAGTACCAACTCAATTGTATTTTATTTTTTCAAAATAAGGCGGTTTTCTCTTCCAGTTACTCTTCTACTCAAAACTGGAGTTTCTGATGTTGTTTTATTTATATCTGTCATGATCACACCTCTGACTTATGGCTACTATTATCTCATCCATCCATTATGGTATATGAAGTATTTACACCCTTCCACTTCCTTTTATTGCTCCACTCAAAATATTCTCAATTCTAGACCACCTATTTTTCCACTTAAAGTTGACACTGCCATACAAAATCACTAAAACCAGCAAAATCATTTATATAAAGCATTTTTCAAATGTTAAAATTCAGACAGTCTTGTAAATCTGCTTTTTTTAGTTTTGGGGTTGGTTTTTTTTTTTTAAATAATCTATTCAATCTTGTAGGAATTTTCTGAAAACCACACAGTATAAAAACTGGTAGATGTCATCTGAATGCTTTGTTACCCTTTACGCTACAGACTCCCTCTTCTTTTTACTAAACCAAACCCTTTTCCTTTATTTCCCTGAGAGATTAACTCATTCATGAGACAGAAAGAGGCCAGAGCAGGTCAGAAATGAGTTTCCCCAACACTGAGGAAATGCCCCAGTGCTGGAAAGCTGCCAAGGGAACAGTTTGCTTTGCTTCAACCCAGGCAGCCCAGACCCTCCCCTTTCCATTCCAGTATACCAGGTAATAGAAACAGAATGATTGTCAGGAAACAAACTGGCATTTCCTAACTTTGCTTTGGAGAGATTACACTGACAGAATTTAAAATTTGTTAATCAAATCCAAGATCATAACATAAGACAGATGCTCTCATGTTGACTCTCTCTCACACTCTGATCCTCGTCCAAATCCTGTTTTGTTTTCTGTGACTTTTATGCCTTCATTGACGTACAATATGAAACTATTTGTAATTCCACAGGAAAGGCAAGCTATAAATTTGAAGTCCTTAAGCCCTATGTTAAAAAGGCACATCTGTCCAAGCACACCAGTTTGTTTTAGCTATGGCTTTATGTTAAAGACCTACATTAGAGATATTCCTTGAAAGATGTATTTAGTATTATCTTCATTAAAAATAAAAAAGTCAAAGCAACATGCAGAACAGATTTCTGAGTTCACCAGACTTGCAGGTTTTTTTTAAAATGGTTTTGTGTGACAGCTGTTTGGACTGCATGTTTCTGCCATAAATCTGTTTCAAATTCCAGTGAGGCTATTCAAGGTGAAGTTACTGAACTTCCTTAGGGTAAGGCTTCAGAAATACTTTGATTTAATGAGTACTGCTAAGAATACCGAGAACTACACACTCTGGTATCTAAAAGAGTAGGTGATACTACCTTTCTTCAGTGCAATACAGTTGTATTCCCAAAATAAGTTGACACTGAATTTGAACAGTGCCTATTTTTACATTACATTTGTGCTTCAGAATGAGTCCTTATATTCTGATAAAAACTTCACTTAATGGGTGCCTAATATAACCCATGAGCAAATAATAACGCAAAGAAAAACACAGTTACAGAGCCGTTTGAAGTGCATAATCCTAGGGTACTTTGTACCCTACTGCTTCAGAAAAAAAAAATAAATCATGACTTGTCTTTGGAAGATGAACTCTGTACATTCACATTCATTCTCTTCTATGCTGCCACAGTAGGAATCAACAAATTATGCTGACATAAAACTCAGGTTCTAGCTATGAAACAGTACTTAGATATACATAGACATCTATTCAATAGATTCAGATAAATCCAAACATAAAACCACACACATATATGCATACCCCTTTCTATAAACACACATACGTATATATATACACACACATATATATTCCTTACTAAGACTGACCTGATATTTTCAACTTACTTGTCACTCTTGCCCAATTTCTGTCTTCAAACTTTCTTGGTAAACTGAAAGGCTCTGCTTTCTCAATAATTACCTTACCAATCATCATGAAGCTAACTACCTACCTAAGAAGTTTGTGAAGCAGAAATAGACAGAAAAGGCTATGAAAATATGATATGAAAAACATTGCTACAGTGTTAAATCTGAATCAGCTCTAATAACAAAGAAGTATTAAAGGGTTTACATAAGTGTTATGAATGATAAAACTGGGCCTCATTTTGCTGTTGTAAAATAGAAAGAGATGTGACATTTATGCTCTATGCCACAAAATAGTATATTAAAGAGCAAGGGATTATTCTACTCAGCAGAGCACAAATATGTAAATCCAAGTTAAAGATAATAGCCTTACAGCTTGTGGGCAGCTCTGCTTAGTTTTTAATGCAAGAGAAAACAGCTAACCCTGGCAAAATGAAGACAAATACTAAACAGAAACTTCTAATGCTGTTAAGAAATATAAACTCTTAAATCTAGAGCTGTTTCTTCTTCCTTACAATAAAACATGGATTAGTAAGTAATTAATGAAGAAATAACACAATAACTTAAAGTTCACCTCTGGCACTCCAGATACCTGCAAACAGAAAAAACAATGATTTGGCAAAGGAAGCTCTACCTGACATCTTTACTTGGCTTGGACAATGTTCGCAGCAAAATTAAGATTAACCTTACGTGAAAACTTAAAAACTACTGATGCTGAGAATAACTGAGAATTCTGGTCCTCGTAAACTTAAAATGCAGAACAAACATAAATGCAACTGATTTTTTATGAAGAATAACAGACTGTTTAGAGGAAATTACTGCAGTTCTGGTTTAAATTTATAGGGTATGGTTAATGTGCTGCTGTACTTGATCATACGCTTGTGACAAGGCTAATGTAAAAAAATTTAAGATAAATGAAGTGGATTAAAACATTGGTAATACAAACTCTTGTTAATAAAAAGTGTATCAGAACTCTTAATAAGGGAGGAAGAAAGCTGCAAGTGCTGAAAAAGTTTGTCTTTGGAAGCATCCCATGGATAGAAAAGTTGTAACAGATCATCATCCTGCACTCTATTTTAAGCAAAAGTAGCAAGGTATTTGCCTTCAGGATGTGGTATGATGTTACAGCCATACCTACCTAATCGAGAACCACTGCTAAAACAGATGGCCCAGCTTCTCCTCTTTTAGCAATCCTGTGAGCAACCTCTTGCCTGCATGTTTATGGCTCTCTGTCCTTAGGCCAAGCCTGGTGCTAATTTTACCATGTGTGGAGCTCGTTCAGAGAGCCAGATGAACTTAAAACTATGGTTAATTTTCCATTGCCTAGCTCCCCAGACCAGTTTATCACAGTATCAAACACCAAAGCTAGCCCAAGTTAAGCAGTGAGAACACACTGTCAGAGAATGGATGAAATGACCCTTTCAGAAGCAGCTGAGTGTTAGCCCAGCTGTAACATCAACCTTACTACAGGTTAACACTTATCAGGACTGCAGGAGAAATCCAGTTTTGATTAATTTTTCAGGGTCTGAGAACAAAAGCTGAAGCAAACAAAAAAAGACTGAGAAAATGTGTGAACAGTTTATAAAGTTAAGCATCAATGAAAAGAGGAGATGGGTAAATGGAGACTAAAAACGGTGCTGTAAAGACCACAGACAACAAAAGAGGTAAGAAGCCTCAGGAGCTGTCAGTAAACCTGCAACAGTGACTTTATTTTACTAGTCTTTACCAAGTGATCAGCAACTTGGAATTTGGATAATAACTTCTGTGGATAGCCAACACTCTTATAACCAAAATCTAAGGGTGAGGCTTCACAAAATAACCAAGCCAATCTAAAAGTTTAGTGGCGGTGAAAGAGATGGCCACATGCTTCCCTTCCTGCCACTTCATCCTGCTTCCTTCTTTCATTGTCCAAGCTGCTGATTAGTCAGGTCAGTTGCTGAACTAGAAGGAAAGGAAAAATGCAAATATTTTGTTCATTGCTTAGTGAGGAAAAACTGACTTACCAATTCTGTGTGTTACTAAGGGCATGTGAACAGGGACAAAGGAGAGAATCACAGAAGTGGGGGGAAAAAAAAAAGAGGATGAAATTTAGATACTGTCCCTTTGGAAGTAGCAAGCTGTCAGCTTGACTCAGGGGCATCATTAACACTCACCTAATGGTCTATACTAACTGGATGACAGAAGAACATACGAGTTACAGCATACTTAAACATTTCTCTTTTTTTACCTTCTCTGAAACATTTACATTTGAAAACTTGCTCAAGAAACATTAATTGCTGGATATCTCAGATAAAAACAAAACCAAGATTATTTACCATTTTAATAAGCAATTATCTTATAGATGGAGAGTGCTTCCTTCAGATGCCAGATCGAAGCATGTTCCTTGCTGCTCAAAACCAGAGTCAAATCTCTACTTTTCCATAGCACAGCATGTAGACTCTTTAAATCCTTAAATGTTCAGCTTCCATTTTTCAATCATTAGACTCCAGGAAACCATGTACAAAATGACCCCAATACTTTCCTCCTCTTTCAAAACATTTAATAAAAGCTTTATAATTTACAAGGAACAAAAAAAGTACTTTTACACGGAACAATTGTAGGCCAGCTTGGACATTCTGTGTGCAGCTTTTCTCATCTATTCACACTGGGATTTCAGAAACATTTATTATTTATGGCTTCCTTTTTCCTTTGCTCAACTGGATCACTGCACGCCAACATACATTTTCTAAAGCTTAATGTGAAGGCAGGTCCCAAAGACAAAACATCTATAGGTGCAAAAATATCTAGGTCCCGTTACTAGGAGATTCCAACAAGCACAAGTTAG